CCCCCTACACGTGAAGTTTTCACGTGATTCATGATTCTCGAGGCTGCGAGCCCTTGACTTGCTAAAGCAAGAGCAACTCCAGCTAGCTGATGCTAGCTTTCGTGACCAGTGAGTCTCAAAATCGAGCCTCGACGCGTCAAGGTCTTTCTTGCAAAGATCATAGAGGGCCTGCTGACCCGGTGTCAAAAAGGGGGAAGAGGAAGTCGTGTGCTCTTCTTCCATGATGTCCATCAAAAGAGCAGCCAAACGAGCCGACGGGGTCCCGCGTTCTGCAGAATCCCTGAGGATCTGCACTGAGGTAGAAGAGCTCGGTGCCCCTAGGCTCAATGGCTGCTGCCCCTTTGGAGGAGGGTGCGGTGATCCACCTCCTCTCAGTTTAAAAGGTTGTGGAGCTCGCCAAGGTCCATAGCCCCCGTGACTAAACTGGACCTGCTTCGAGCCCCACGCTGCAAAAGGATCAAACGAGTTGACTAAGTCCCTGCAACTCTCTTGATCAAAACCCCCGGGCTGAAAGATTCCAGCAACCCCAGGTTTGTCAGAAGCTGAAGATGAGCTGAGAGGGCCGTTCACGACCCTGTTACCCGCACTGCTGTGGCTCACCAGCTGTTTTGCGGCGCTTGATGTCATCATCTGTGGCTTCTGCCGAAGGCCGTTTCAGCATCGTGGTGAGCTGGGCCTTTTGATCAGGTGTCAAACTGACTCCCAAGGTGTTAATGAAACCTGCTACGGCATCCGGCACAGTATCCTCCATGGCCTCCCCTTCTTGGAGCTCGTTGGCCGGTTTGGTGGTCTTCACCATTTCCATGTATGTCGCACTGGTGGTGTTCAGTGCTCCCTGTTCCGCCTCCAACTTGGTGTGAATGCCCTTCATCTCTTCCAGCATATCCCCATAAGCCTTCTTGGCTGTGTCGAGTTTCTGCTGGAGAATCATCTTGCGGTGCGAGAGGTCTCGCAGAGCTGAGACCTGGGCCTTGAGCTTGAGGGCCATGTCTTTCTCAGTCTCGGGTGGAGGCTTAGTGATGCGTTCCACCAGTTCCTTGACTGCAGTGGGCAATTGGGCCATGTTCTCCTTGAGCACGTGAGTCAGGTCTTCAGGGTCCGTGCTAGGAGGAACTGGCTTGATGCCCAAGTTCCCAAGCTGTTCTTGTAGCTTTGGATCCAAGGAAGTCCAAGAGGCTCTCAACAAGTCAGTAGTTGCCTTGTGAACCTGTGTGAGCTTGGATGAGCGATTGTTCCCCAGTCCTGGAGGAGGAGAGACCGGCTTCTGTCGTGGTGCAAAACGCCCCAAAGACCGAGAAGGGGAGCGTCGACTGAACCCTTGAGTGGGTTGTCTCCAGGCCAAGCCACACTTCCGGCAAACATATCCTTCACATACCTTGTCTTCCCAGATCCAATTCGAACACGTAGGGCCTTGACAGCACTGGTACGCCCTGGTCCATGAGGATCTCCGCCATGAGGTGTTCATGGGTGCTCGATCAGGAAGCTCGCAGAGGCCACCGTACTCCCCTGCCAAGACCTTCTCTGTGAAGTCGTGAAGTGCCCTGCGGCGAGGACCCTGAGAGCCTTGAGCCGAGACTTGAGCCACAGAAGTTACATATATATATATTATATATATATATATGTGTGTGTGTGTGTGGAATTGTGTGAATAAGACAGTGTGTAAGTGTATGCGGGAAAGGTTGTGGAGTGGACATCATGAATCTTTGCCATATCATCAAGTCTCCACTCAGTCATCTTAGTATCGCCTGGTAAACGGTGGTGAATGTGCATGATGTTTGATGTCGCTATGTCGCCGCAAGGTTGGACAAGGACCAGCCAAAGCCCTTGCCACCACAGAATCCTGACCTACTAAGAAAGGTTTTTCCGAATGAAGTTGCACCGTGTTCATCTTGTCACCTCAGGCGAAAGTCATGCACTTTACGATCTTTTTCAACTTTCTTTGGGCTCTCGGCAGGCTCAGCTGTCACACAGATCTGAACAACAGGGAAATCACCCAGTAACTCTATGACAGTACAAACCATGTACACGCGCCGACCAACAGAGCCAGGCAATCCCCCTCACAACTACAACATACTACAATCAGGGACCAAGCCTGTGAAAAGAGCAACCCCATGTTCGTGCTACTGGCCGGGGGGCCGCTCCAAACAAATAAGAATGTTGTGATCATGACTCAAGGTTGATGTCTGATATTTGACTCAATGCTGGAAGACACTTCAAGATTCAAGCATCTTCTAGCAATAGTCACATCTGACGGGTGCAAGCCAACTGCACTGGATCCATCAAAAAGAACAAATCAAAGTACATCACGCTATATGTGTGAGTCCATTTTCCACTGCTGGAGGCCTTTCACTTTTTGGCCCAGCCCATCCTCTCCCGCCGTTTCGCTTTCGCGCTCCACACAGCGATTCCACGCGCCACGCGCGCCGCGTGTGAACGCCGCGAGGCATTGGAGACCGCCTCCTTGAGCTCGAGGCGGAGCTGGTCATGACCTTCGCTCACCTTGCTAACAGGTGCCTTACTAGTAGTAACAAGAAGCTAGTAGTAACAGGTG